TCAAGGACACAAGAAAACACACAGAATCAACTCATCTGGGCTTATATGGGGTCGCAGAGAATGAAGTGACAATCTTAAATACAGCTGAATTGGCTACTTGTTAGTAATCAAAGCAATACTATTCAGAAGAAATGAAGAGCTTTGCACTTTGAGAAATAGGACATAACTATTGTAAATATTTATACACCAAATCATAAAGTCTCCAATTTTATCTAGATAACATTGTAAGGCATGGAGAGTTCACATTGTTCAGGTACAATATTACTGGGACACTTCAATGCTCTTTTCATTTCTAGACAGGTTCTCTTAATAATAATAATAATAAAACAGTGCAAGGAATCCACAAGATAAATACCCCAAATAGTAACCAGACTAAAACTGTATCCACAGTTGAAAAGTCGGGAGTACACATTCTTCTCAGAGACACAGTGAACTTTCCTTAAAATAGATCACATTACATACCACAAATCAAACATTTATAAAGAGAAAAAAGCAGAAATATACTCGTAGGTCCAATTAGAGAACCCTAGGCTAAAACAGAAATGAAGACAGACTAAGCTTAGAAAATACAGAAATACTTGGTGACTAATTAATATACCTCTGAATGAACAGTGTAGTTCATTTAATATCTAAGAGAAAGCAGTTCTAAGTAGAATTTTTATATGGACATTGCTTAATTTAAATATTAAGTTCTTTAGTAAGTACTCTAGTGATTCAATTCAAAGGCAGAGAAAAAAGTAAAAGCCTAACTTAAATACAGAGTTGACTAGGATTTGTAAATAATAAAATCAGGATAGAATTCATGAGGTGGAGACTTCAATAAAAATATAAAAATTAATCAGACAAATTGGTTCTTTAATAAGTTCAACAAGATTCTTCAACCTTGGCCAAACAAAAGAGAGAGAAAAAGAGACAGAAACACTGAGAGAGAACCTAAACTGATAAAACTCAGTACAAAAGGGACTGGTTAAAATGACTCCATTGAAATCCAGAAGATCCTCAGGATAAACTTTGAAATCTTATGTTCTAACAAGTTACAAAATATAGTAAAGGATAAATTTCTAAATATTCATCAACAACTAAAAACCCAGGAGAGAAAACAACTAGAGTGGTCCCATAACAACAACAACAACAACAACAACAAAACAGTAATTAAAGACCTCAGCACAAAGGAAGTCCAGGGCAGATGGATTTACTGCTAAATTCTATCAATCTTTCAATGGTGATCTAATAACAATACTAATAAGAACACTTCCATAGAATAGAAAGGGCACTGTCAAATTCATTCTATGGAACCAATATATCTCTACTACCATACTTGGATAGTCAGGTGTAGTGGTGTACAACTTTAATCCTAGTATTCAGGTAAGTGGGAAGATCTCTGGGAGCTCAAGGTCATTTTGTCCAACAGAAATATCCAGGCCAGCCAGAGTTACACAGAGAGACATTGTCTAAAACAAACAATAAAGACAACAACCATAAACAAAATCTGGATAAGAACATACTCCTAAACAATATCCTCAATGAACATAAAAATTTAGAAACTCTCAAATTAATTTGACTTAGATCAAATTTACAACCAAGCTGCTTTAATCCCTATGACAAAAGGTTGGTTCATCTTTTGAAAATCACTGTGTATAATATACCATATTGAGAGAAGAAGAAATTAGTTGTCTCAATAGTAGTAGAAAAGGCAGTTGTCTCACTTCAAAATGTCTCCATCATAAATCAATAGAAAAGCAGGGGTAGATGGAGAAACTTTCAACATAATAAAGGCCATGCATGACAAGCCCATAGTCGATCCTGAGTAAATGGAAGGAAAACTGAAAACTTATCCTCTAAAATTTGGCATGAGGTGAAGTTCCCTATCTATCCTCTTATGCAATGTTGTTCAAATACTACATTAAAGAAATAAGACAACAGAAAATAACAAACGGTAAAAATGGGAAAAGGAAAAGTTAACCTATATGTTTGAAGATTATGGGACTCTATACTTAAAAGATCCCACACTCTCCAGTAATAACTCATGAATCTAATGGGTACTTTCAGTAAAATAACAGTTCACAAAATCAACACATAAAAATCATTAGCCTTGGCCAGGTGGTAGTGTCACACACCTTTAATCCCAGAACTTGGGAGGCAAAGACAGGTGGATCTCTGTGAGTGGCCTGGTCTACAGATTGAGTTCCAGGATGGTGGGGATACAGAGAAAAACCCTGTCTTGAAAAAAAACAACAACAAAAATCATTAGCCTGTACATACATCAACAACTAACAGGCTGAGAAAGTCACCAGAGAAACAACTGTGCTTTTACAATAGCCTCATAAGAAGGAAAAAAATACAGGAACAACTCTAACAGAGGAGGTGAAAGACTTCCATATGAATAAATAAAAATAAATAAATTACCCAGAAAGACATTATAGGAGAGAAGAATATTACATGTTCCTGGATTTGCAGATCTCATGTTGTAAAATGACTTCATTAATACTCAAATAAAAACAAATATGTACACCAATGGACTATAAAGTTAACAAAGATAAATCATTAAGTCAATAGATAAGGAATTTTTGAACAAGACATCAAAACCATATCCTGAATTAGAAGCTTTTAAGCAAATAGTATTGGCAAAATTGGATATCCAGTTGTGTAAAAATGAAATGATCACCATGCAGAAAAATCAATTTGGAATGGACAGACATTTTGCATTGAAAATGCAAAAGAGTGATATATTAACTAATACCCCCCCACACACAAACACATGAACACACAAACATCGAAAGCACATACGTAGTTTGTACATTTTGCAAAAGAAAAACATCATTCACAATCCATAAGCTTATGCTGATACTACATCTGTGTTTGTTCATGTAGATGTGTGTGTAGATACATAGGTAAAAAGTAGAGGGAACACTTTTGGAAGAAAGGGAGGTAATGAGAAGGGACCAGGAGGGAGGATAATAATGGGAATAAGGAGGAAAAACTATGATGCATATGTATTAAACATTGTTACTTTCATTTGGCATGGAACTTCAGTAACTGCTCCTATTGCAGAGATAAAATGTGCTCACAAGAGCGACTTACAGGAGAAAGGGTTCAGATTGGACTGTGGTCCAAGGTCACTGTCTACCACAGTGAGAAAGTTAAGACTGAAGGAGCTGGTCATGTTCCATCCACAGTCAGGAAGCAGAAGGAGACAGAAGCATTATTGTTTTCAGGGTACTTTCTTCTTATACCACACAGGATCCCAGTCAAAAAGATGCTTCCACCCATAGGCAACAGGTCTTCTGACTTTAATTAAACTAATGAAGATAAGCCCTGCAAAGGAATGACCAGTGACTTGCTTTTCACATGATTCTACATCTCATTGTGTTGACAATTGAGATTTAAGTATTACTTCTTCATTCCTTATATACATGAAACATAAACACAATTTTAAAAATATACTTTAAGTTTAGTTTGTATTTGTGTGTGCACGCGCGCGCACTTGCACAGGGACGTGCGTGCGTGCGCGTGCGTGCGTGCGTGCGTGCGTGTGTGTGTGTGTGTGTGTGTGTGTGTGTGTGTGTGTGTACCCATGAATGGAGGTCAGAGGACAACCTTCAGAGGTAACCTCTCTTTCTACTATGTGGGTACTGGGAATACAAATATGGTGTACATCTTATTGGCAATCAAGTTTTCTCCCAAAGCCAACATGCTAGCTCCAGCTACAAAGCTTGAAATCATAACATCCCTTCCCTTCCCCTAATCTTACACTCATCTCAGAAGTAAACTAGGATCCAGCTAGACAGGTCCACACAGCACTTGACAATTTCAAGAGTTTAAAAGGCCTCAGTGCACATCTCACGTGAGACTCAAGGCAATCTTAAGTGAGGTGCTACAACATAAAAACAAACGGCGCACTTCCTCCACGCAGTGACACAGAACAAACATCCTCCTCTGTAACAGAATATTCAGAGCACAGCAAGGAAGGGTAAGATCCAAATCCAGGAGGCAAACACCCCATCTGATAGCTCCAGTTTTGATATCTGAGACTTCTGCTGCACTGATGACTTAGGTGACCCCCACCTTTCCAGCTTCACCCGAAACATGCATAGCCTCTCTCCTAGGCATGCTCCAATCATGGCTTGCAGCTTTCCTTAGCAGGCCCTGCACTTCCTTCCTTCAAACTCCTGGCATCTCCACTATCTTGGGCCATGCAATAATTTGGTTTCGTAACAAGTTGCTATCCTCAGACTTGAGTGGTCTGAATGATTGTGATATCTATGACTTGTTTCTTTCTAGCACATTAAACAATGTTATATTAATTCCAAGTAATCCTTCATGTTTTTCAACATTCCACTTTGACAGTATTGGTTTCCCACATTAATTTCCTTATATTCATTATATTCACAAGGGATGACAAGACTCTGCTACACAATTTGACTTTATATGATGCTTTCTGCTATAATTTGCCCTATGAGGTTAACATGTTGGACAAAGTTTCTGCCAGAGTCATATGTGGAAGGTCTCTATTTCACATGAATTCACTCATTGCTGTGGGATGGTCTGTATGTCAAATTGCTCTGATTGGTCAATAAATAAAACACTGATTGGCCAGTGGCCAGGCAGGAAGTATAGGTGGGACTAAAAGAGAGGAGAATTGAGAGAACAGGAAGGTGGAAAGAGACACTGCCAGTTGCCGCCATGACAAGCAGCATGTGAAGATGCCGGTAAGCCACGAGCCACGTGGCAAGGTATAAATTCATAGAAATGGATTAATATAAGATATAAGAACAGTTAGCAAGAAGCCTGTCACGGCCATACAGTCTGCAAGCAATATAAGTCTCTGTGCTTACTTGGTTGGGTCTGAGCTGCTTCAGGACTGGCGGGTTAGAGAGATTTGTCCTGACTATGGGCCAGGCAGGAAAACTCTAGCTACAACTCGTTGTTGTTCTGGCTCTACCAACCTGGGTACCCTGCGAGCAGGGGGTGAGAAGACACAGAGTCAATGACACAGACTCTGGGAGATTGCAAGCAAGCTCATTTATTAAATAAAGGGCTGAGGTATTTATGCATGCGCTGTTTGGCAGGCTTTGCTTCTATGGCTATTGTGGTGTTCTTGATTTGGCCCTGGGTCTTACATCAGCAGTTGTCATCTTGGGGGTCCAGTTTCAGGCTCCTCTGGGTCAAGGTGCTATTGTGCATGTCACAGCTTTTCTTACTTGAGGCTTAGCCCATTCATCTGGCATATGGGCTTTATCTGCCTCAACTCATCATTTATTAGAATGTTGCTTTCCAGTACATAGGCTCTGATGATCACTAGGATATAAAGAAGAGTGGAACACTGTTTCTCATTCTTTACTGCCTTAGTTTGATTTCTGTTGTTGTGATAAACACCACAACAAAAACTACTTAGGGGAGAAGAGAGGTTATTTCAGTTCACTGGCTGCACTTCATCATCCATGAAAGCCAGGGCAGAACACAGCAGAAATCTAAGGCAGCAAGTGAGGTGGGAACAAGAGAGGTGTGCTACTTTCTGGCTTGTGCCCTTTAGCTTCAGCTCAACCAGCATTCTGCTACTATCAGGATGAGCTGCTCAGGTGTGGGTCATCCAAGGTGCACTGGCATCATCACAATTCTTCTAGATTCTCCTATATCAATGAGTATTCATGAAAATACCCTATTGACACAGTCACAGTCTATCAGATCCAGATTGAGACTCCATCACATTGTGTGAAACTGAGAACAGAAACAAATAGGACATCTGCATTGTAGAGCTTCTCATCAATGCAGATTCCTTGGTGCTGATGGTGATTAAAAATATTTTTTATGTTTTTTCCACATTATTTGGGCGTGTAGAGTTTCACTCTACTATAGTGTCTCTGGGGACACTTTGAGGACACTTCAGATAAGGAAGTCAGGTAAAGGGATTGCCACAATCTTAGCACTTGTAGTGCGCCTTACCAACATGATCCCTATGATTCTTAGAATAAAAAGCAGCTAAACACATGGCCATATTTTATACATTTACAGAGACTCTATCATGTGTGACTTCCTTGAGGTTCAACAAGGGCTGAATAAGCTTTTCAATATTCTTCACATTTGTAAGGTTGTTGCTCAGAATGAGTGCTTTCCTTTGTTTAAGGTATGAGGATCCTTTAAAATCATTGGCACTCCCTCCACAGTTGTGCTGCTTGTCTCCAGGATAAATTCAGGTCGGGAAGCATTGATTGACTGGGAAAGCTCTTCAGCATACTCTTCACATGTGTTTAGCTGTCCTCCTCTATTGATTCTTTTGTACTGGGTAAGGTCTGAGTGCTTCAAAGGTTTTACCATATTCTCCACACTTGTAGGGCTTCTAGTCAGAATGAATTTTTTAATATCTTTTAGGATCCAAAGAAGTATAAGACATTTTATGAACATTTACCATTTGTATTATTTCACTGAAGTTGAACGACCTTGTGTTGAAGAATATTACAACATTTTTTAAACAGTTGGCAACACTTTTCATTCTTGTGGCATTTCTCTCCAGTATGAATTATCAAGTGTTTCAAAAGTTCTTAGCTAGTGCAAAAGACCTTGGCACATTTGTCACACTCGTGTTCTTTCTCTCACAGATGAATCCTTTGATGTTGTTTAAGACCAGAAGACTGGTGGAAGGCCTTGCCGCATTCTCCACACTTGTAACGCTTCTCTCCAGTATGAATTCTCTGGTGTTTAGAACGTGCTGTGTACGTTCTGAAGTCTTTGCCACATTCTTTACACTTGAAGGGTTTCTCTCCAGAATGAATTCTTAGATGCTCCTTAAGGTTTTTCGCACAGTAGAACAGTTTTCCACATTCCTCACACTTGTAAGGTTTCTCCCCGGTGTGAGCTAATTTGTGTTGAGAAAGGTATGACTGAGTAGAGAAGGCTTTTCCACATTCTTCACACTTGTAGGGTTTCTCTCCAGAATGGACTCTCACGTGACTAGAAAGTTGCCAGGGAGTTCTAAAGACCTTGCTACACACTTCACACTTGAAGGGTTTCTCTCCAGAATGGATTCCCAAGTGAGTAGAGAGATGAGAGGAAGACCTGAAGGCCTTGCCACACACTTCACACCTGTAGGGTTTCTCCTGAGAGTGACTTTTCTGATGTTCCTTAAGCTTTGAGGAATAATAATACATTTTGCCGCATTCCTCACATTTGTAGGATTTCTCTTCTGTATGAATTCTCAGGTGTACAGAAAGCACAGATGGAGTGCTGAAGGCCTTCCCACATTCTTTGCACTTGTAGGGCTTCACTCTCGAATGAATTCTCTGGTGTTTAATGAGGTGTGAATTCCAATCAAAGGCTTTGCCACAGTCCGTACACGTGTAGCATTTTTTTCCTGGCAAGCAGAAGTTGAATACAAATAAAAGCTGAGCAACATTCTTTGTGTTTATAATAATTATTTTCAAATTGGAGACATTTACTCACAGTTAAATTTTTCTATATAAATGAGCTACATTCAAATTTCTACACCTGTATTCAATGGAAACTAATTAGAAATCACACTGGGTAAAATTGTGTAACTTTGCATTGAAATAAGATCATGACAACATAGAACATAGAAACTAAGCAATATTAATCAAAATCAAACATGTAAGGAAGGCATAACATCAACAATCAAGAAAACCCTGAAGAGCATTATGTTAATGAAAAAGGGTTCATTGAAAAATATAGAAACTTTATGACTAGATAAACAAAAAGTATAATAGTCAAGCTTGGAAAGCACGTGTATATGATACACACACACACACACACACACACACACATATATATATATATATATATATCCTAGATACGATTTTTAGTTTTGGAAGGTAGGAATGTTAAACTTCATAAGAAGACTGATTGTCCATAAATTATAATGGAGTAATAAATTATATATTATAATTATAATGAAGTAATTAATTATATACTTCAAGGATTTAAGAAAGGAAGCTTTGTATATATTTTATGAAGAGAACAAATATCTGAGAAAATTTATAAAAAAATAAGTCAAGTTCACTTAAAAATGACAATTTTGGAGGCGTTGTAAGCACAAGCTGACCTGAAGGGAGAAGAACAAAGCCTGGGAGACTCAAAGCATCACAAATACCTGACAGACATCTTCCACTGATAGCAAAAGACAGAGAGGGAGATTTTTAAAAATGATTTCCACCAGGACATCGCATCTCAACGAACATAGCAAGCCCTAGCTCTGCCGGATCTCTGGCCTCCCACTCTGTCCTCTGTCCCCTCATTCCTACACACCTGCTTGCGTGGCAGCAGCCCCTTGTGTCCTCACATCTGAAGGTTCTTGTCTTTGCTCTAGAAATGTGACCAGGTATGGCTTACAGGAAGTAAGACCTGTTTGTGGGAAGGGGGCAACACTGTTAGTGTGCTCTCCTGGGAATAACATGCCCTCTCCAGGATTGTGTGCGACAGGAATGAGAAGGTAACACAAAGGATAGTAGAGGATTACCTCCTCATGTCTTCCGTGATAGGCACATCAGAATCCTTAGGAGGTGCTTAGGTCTGCAGGTCCTGAGTTCCACCCCACTCATTTACAAGGAAAAAAATATTAAAACTGAAGAGTGTGACATTCTCTACAACATGTATGCCCTTGTTCCTGCTACTTAATTTCTAACATAACCACTGATGTGGAGAATACGTGGAACAAAATAAAACAAAAAGCCAACAAAAGGTTATAAGCACAAAAGAAATGAAACAGTTCTAAGGTATAACAATAATTGCCCTAATTTTCTTTAAAAGTAGCTCTATGAACCTCACTGTTGGAAACACAAGCTCCCATGAGATATTGTACAAAGAAAGCAAATTTTATGCTGACAGTTAATTAAGAGTTCACCACAGAAGTAATCCTCACCCAGGAACACAAGGTTGCTGAAATTCTCCAACATCACATCCCTGTATAGGTTCCACTGAGCGGGGCCCAGGCACTCCCACTCCTCTGCAGAGAAATAAATGGCCACATCCCAGAATGACAGCATGTCCTGAAATAAAGAAAAAAAAAGAATGAATATCACACATTGTGTTAAGACTGTCAGTAATTACATAAAGAGGCATATGTGCTTCTGCACACAAATCTAAAGGGTACCCAGATTTAGAGCTTTGCCGCTCATATAGGTAAGTAATATCTCTAAAATACGTCTGATGTACTAATGTGATGTGACACAGGACTCGTGTTTAAACAGAATAAGCAGTGGAAAAGCCTAGAAACTCCTATGTAAATTATACTTTTAAGAACCACGAAGTGGAGAAAGAGTGCATCTGCAAAACAGTATTCTGGGGCTGGAGAGACGGCTCAGCCGTTAAAACACTGGCGGCTCTTTCGAAAGACTTGGGGTTGATTCTCAGAAGCCCTGCGGCTGCTCACAGCTTTCTGTAACTGCAGCTCCAGAAGATCAGACAACCTTTCAGACATGCACACTAGCAAAACAACTACACACAGAAAATAATCTACTCTCTGGTGACTAAGAATTCAAGTATATGAGCCTATGAGGGCCATTCTCATTTACTTTATCACAATTATCATGGCTGCCTTGGTTAATGGATCCTAGATATGTACAAGTCTATTCAAATACCTTAGTATTTCTTACTAAGGACAAACACAAACAAGTAACATGAAATCAAATCACTGTGCTCAGTACAGATTAAAATGTCTGTTTCCAGAATAATGGAGAGTAATGTGAAAATGTACATAGAGTTGTGGTGATAAATTAGGTAACCCAATAAACTTATCTGGGGGTCAAAGAAAAGAACAGCCACTGGATTAGACATGGAGGCCGGACAGTGGTGGCACACAACCTTAATCCTACCATTTGGGAGGCAGAGATCCATCTGGAGCCCTGAGTTCAAGGCCACACTGGAAACAAAGCTAGGCATGGTGGCACACACCTTTAATCCCAGCAATGGGAAGCACACAGACAGGCCTTTAATCCCAGGAAAGGACAGCAGGGTGGAGAAAGGTATATAAAGCATGAGGAAACAGGAACTAAAGCAGTTCAGCTGAGATCCTTTTGAGTGAGGACTCAGAGGATTTCAGTCTGAGGAACCAGGGTCAGTTGAGGAGTTGGCGAGGTGAGGTTGGCTGTGGCTTGCTCTGCTTCTCTGATCTTTCAGCTTTTACCCCAATATCTGGTAGTGGGTTTTTTGTTTTTTGTTTGTTTTTTATTAAAAGACTATCTAAGATTTGACAACATGGAGTAGTTTCTATCAATCAGAGTGAGGACGGTTTACTACTTCATTGTAGGCCTAAGGATTTTCCAGAACTCGTCCCTGAATTTCCTGCAGTTCTCGCTCAGGAGCTGGGTCCCAACACTGCTTTTCTAGAAGCCACAACTGTGTTTCCCGTGGCATTGCCAGCATGTCCCCCTCACAGATACTCTTTCTCCTCCTTACAGTGTTTCTGCCTTCCTTACAGTAGGTGAACCCTTAGGGTTTGGGGAGTTTTTGCAGGTGTCCACTTGTGTTTCTGAAACTTGAATTTATCCTTTCTTAGACACTGAGAAGTGGGCTCTTGTAGAGAAGTAGGCTCTTCTAAATACTCTCCATTGTTGTGAGTTTTTCTCTGTTCTACCTGCCAGCTCCCACATAACCATACAGAGATTTATTATCAATTATGAAAGCTCAGCCAATAGCTTAGGCTAGTTTCTAACTAGCTTTTATAATTTAAATTAACCCATTTCTATTACTTATGTGCTGCCACATGGCTTGTGGCTTGTTACCTCATCTCCTACATGACCTGCTTCCTCTGTGTTTGGCTGGCCACTCCACTTTTCTTCTTCCCAGCATCCTCTATGCCTGGAAATCCTGCCTAGCTATTGGCAATTCAGCTTTTTAAAAAACAAATCAGAATGACATCTTGACAATGTACAAAAAAATTATTACACAACATTTCCCCCTTTTTGTGTAAATAAAAAAGGAAAGGTTTTTAACTCTAGCACAGTAAAACTATATATGGTAAGAACAATTATCAAGTAAGAATTACATTCATAATGTCCAATCCATTAGTATTTGGCAAATTAAGAGAAATAATTCATTATCTACCCTCTCTTGATGAGTCTAAAGCTTTGTTCCTCATTCATTTTCTATCCTAGCTTATACTGCCAACCTGAAGTTATTTTTTTAGACTTCAAAACATTTTTAGATAAACAACTTAAGCTTTAATGCCTATCAAACTTATACACTTTACACCTCTTTTGTGAATTTCTTTTCTGAATTTAGTAACAAGGAAAACTATAACTGTATCTATCTAATCTTCAACTCCATCCAAAAAGGCTAAGACCCTCTCTAATCCCCACCCTAGTATTTTCTGTCTCTCTGTCTTCAGTCCTCCAAAACCTCTATGGTTAATTTTTGTCAGCTAGTAGCTAGCTCTGTCCTCTGATTCAAAGCAAATTTGATTGAAAGTTCTGGGAGCATCAGAATGTGGTGCCATTTGTAGGGAGACTTTCTGTCCTACCAGCCAGCTTCCAAATCATGACACAGAGACTTATTATTAATTATAAAAGCTCTTCTGAAAGCTTAGGCTTGTTACTAACTATCTCTTACAATTTAAATTAACCCAATTTTATGAATCTACTTTTTTGTTTTATGGTCTTATTACCCTTACTCTGTACTGCCCATGTTGCTTCTTGTCCATCTGGCTGGTAACTCCTCACGACTCCACCCTTTTTCTTCCCAGTATCCTCTCTGCCACCCCCCCCCCTAAATCCTGGCTAGTTATTGGCTGTTCAGCTTTTTATTAAACCAATCCAAGAGACACCTCTTCACAGTGTACAAAATTAACACTCCATTTCCACGGCATTGTGCTAGACTGGGAACTGAACGGATTTCCTTTTCAATGTTGTTTTACTAACTCATGCACATACAACTTATTCATAGAGCCTTTCACATAAAGCTTATGCATACAAAGGAATAGAAACACTGTCACATCTTAAGATTCCATAAAAACCCAGCTACTACCCATGGAAATGCAGGGCATTTATGCCTCCCCAGAAGATAAGATGTGCCAGAATAAACCTCAGTGAGAAACCCACAGATTGTTGGTGAGTTTTGGCACAGCAGAAAATGGTAATCTAAATAAGAGTGCATTGAAGTAAAAGAAGAAAGGGGCTGGGAACACAGCTCAGTGGAGAAATTCTAGCTCAGATGTGTGAGGTTCATTTTCCAGCATGGAGAAGTGGACTGAAGGCAAATTAGAAGTACTGTGCTTGCTCATGCCCCATTCACATGCACCAGCAAGGCAGGACTTGCTGGACAGTCTCCAATTTTCTGGCTTATTCTTCAAGATGCTAAGAGTAGAGCAGACATCTATTGTCTATCTCCTTTCAGGCTGACCAAGAACCTAATTCTTACCAGTCTCCCTCAGAGAGCCAATGAGAAGGGCATAGTGTCTTCCATGATGGAGTCAAGTCAATGAAAAGAGGCCACAGCCCAAGTGAAAGGTTCCTGTACTATACTAGACAAGTCCTTGAAATTCTAGCTGGAGGATACTTAAAGCCCAATATCAATAAAGCGTTATAAGGACTATGAACAGTAAATATGGATAGGAAATAGAAAAAAAAGAAAAACAAACAACAAAACTATAAATATGCTCTGAATATAAGACCTATGCTAATTGTCTGACTGAGAATTCAGACATGTAAACCAAAAGTCATAATAATAATTGGAAATGTAATTAAGAGCATTAGAAATAAAAATGTAGTAATGTGTGACATGCACAGGATGTGGCTGAAAACACTGAACTGAATGGCAAATGATAAAGACCTAACAGCACACACTTCAGCAGAAGGAAGCCTTGGCAAACAGAAAGGCTTTTGGGTCACAAGTGCATGAAGACATTTAAGAACTCTAAAGACTTGTGGGATGGTTCAATGAAGAAGGTGCTTGAAACCATACCTGACGACCTGAAGTGGATCCAGAAAACTCTAATAGAGCAATGAAAAAACAATCCTCCAAATGATGTGCACATGTACAGCATGACATGCATTTCTACACCCAGGGTGAGCCTGAGGAGACTTGCACTGACAAGCTCAAAGAGTTTAAGAACTGAAACTAGATAGTGGGCTCTACTCCTGCCATACTCCATAGGCATGGGGTCTCAGGCCTCTACTCTGACACTCAGTGGCAAGGTGACCTTGGGACTGTCCTCTGTGTGGCTCTTGCTGACTGCACCTTTGCTGAATTACACGTGGCTGCTTATCCGTGCTAGCTTATGCTCTCAATGAACTTCTGGACCTGCACCAGTGCCATCTCCCTAAGCTGCCACCACGAAGGACTTCACAGTGGATGTGGGTCAACCCTGCAAAGCAGCCTAACTGGAGAAGATGCCCAGTGGGAACCTGGAGCATTTCCTGTCCCTGTTCCCCATTTAGTGAGATGTCTGATTACCATAAACTTTATAATGTGACACTCAAGGAATGTTTGTGTGGACAAACCAAACATATTCAAAAGACATATCTCACGTGAGCATGCTGCACAGCACCTCACAGCCGACTGGCCATGCACTCCACAACAGAGCAGAAGTCATAAGACACCTGTATTTCCTTTCTGTGCCTCAGAGAACTTTTTTAGGAGCCAGACAAGCCTGACCACCAGAAGATTATGAAACTGCAAAGAGCAAAACAGGGCTGGCTTCTTGATCAGCCTCCCACAACTATGACTTCCCATTCCAGACCTAGTGTATCTATTGATCGCAGAACACATTAGAAAGATCATGAAAAGCCAATTCACAGGTCTCTGTCCAGGATCTTGACCCACAGAAACGTGACATGAAACAGTCATTTATTCTTGTCTTAACAAATTTGGCAATACTTTGACTCACAGCAACACATTTGGTATTACTTTGACTGAGAGCATATGACTGCAACATTGAAAAGACAATGGAGACCATCAGGAAATACTGTTTTTAAAAATGGACTTTAGATTTGACAGTTTTTAAGCTTCAATCTTAGGTGTCTAAACATAAAGGTTAATTTTAACTACTCAGATGGTTAACGCCTGTTGAAATCCTAATGAAACAGTATGTGGACTTCAACCTGGAAACCACTGAGGCTTACAGACTCTTACATCTGACTTGTTTTTCCATAGCTACCACAAACAAGAAAACAACTGAATATAGGTTTTATAGTCTGTCCAGACAAACTGGCACATATTTTTCAACTCAAAATATGTCATTAAGGTTGAAAACTGTCATTTGACTCACTGACAGAAATATTTTAACTTAAAAGCAGAAAATGACTTCAACCTGTGCTTCTCAGGTTTATTCCTTACTCATTTTTGACTCTCATGAAAATCTCTCCAAATACTGACTGTGTCTTCTCTGCACGGCCTCTGTCATGGACACAGTCATCACCAGGAACTGAATGCCATCACCCAACACAAGGTCCCTTCAGAGTTTTCCAAAAACGACATGTGGAGCATGACAAGGTCACTGCCAGAGTCTATCGAAACCAGAAACTCCATTCCCATCACCACTCACACTAACATTAGGGTAACATGAAAAGAGCCTGGGAGAAGAGGGGCAGACTGCACACTGTGGGGAACTGGACTCCTCCTTGAGTAAGGGAAAGGAATCCCACTAACAGTTTGCTTTACTGGCTGGCTGGTGGCCATACCACATGTGAAGGGCAAGGGTAGATGTGGTTGTCCTTTACCATTTGAAGAGCCGAATTCTGTTCTGGTTGACTGTAAGGAAGCATTATGGACAAAACTGAACTAAGGTGTAAGGACTTGGGGTGGCATTCAAGTTTTAAAGGAACAGGTAGGAATATAAACCCCAGAGAGCTGCATGAGGGAAGGACAAGCGCAGAGCTGGAAACGGGCAAATGGGGGATGTCTCTGACGAGAGGAGAAGCACAGACTGGAAAAATTCCGAAGAAAAGACAGCATGATGAGGTCATGACAGAAAAAAACAGCGATGAAAATGCAAAGATAATTAGCATTCCCTGCAATTGCTGTGGAATAGTCAAGCAAGGCAATGAGGAGATTCCTCCCCCACACAGTAAATGCACACAAGCATCTAGTCACCAACACGTGATGTCATTAACAAAAGGACACTAGTGAAATCATTGTAAATTAAATTTCAAATACAGTCAATAGAATTACTCTAAGCGTGTATGTAAGTTTCAAAAGTTGGTATCAGTTGGATAGCTCTCTGTCAGGTTGCTGGTGCTCAGAAGTGAGAGGAATCAGAAGTAATTACCACACCCAATAAACAATGTTTTAAGAAAAAAAATTAAAAAAAAAACAAAAACCACAGGATCTCATGTAGCCTAGGCTCACATTGAATTTGCTATGAAGCACAGAATGACTTTGAACTCCATGCTTCCTGACTCATCCCCAAAATACAGAGATGACAGGGATGAACCACAGAATAGACTTAATTGCACCTTTCAATCATAGGTCTGTTTAGTTCAAAATATATATAACTATTTGGGGCCAGTGGGTTATCCATGGGCATGGTGCTGTATCATCTCTACATTGTAAGGAAGCTGTTTTGATGTACAAGTGCTTTTCCCACTTCACAGAATGTTACGATTTCCCCTACAGATTAGAAACTTCAACTATGAAGTGTATCTTATTTTATATATAGTTGGAAACCCACTGAGAATTCTAGTAGATAGAACAAGGTGGTTTGAGCACATGTTTCCCTAAGAGTAGACTTCAGTGTCATGAGCCAGTCTGCAGCACAAACACTAGACTTGACTGAAAGATGGCAAAATATGCAAGAGCATAAAAGATACCAGGGGGAACCCCAGTGAGCCAAAGCCTTCCAAATTCATCTTTCATTGTCTCTAGCACAGCACAAAAACTTGGGCAAATCTTCCTAGAACTATCCCGGGAGCATCAGTGGACCTGGAAACCACATTTGCTGACAGAGTATGTTTGAGGGAGTTTAGACACTGCTGGTAAAAAGATAAGAAGACAATATACAGCCCTCCAGAACATCACGACCGTTTCTCCCCTCCCTTTCAGAGACATTCAAGTCCCCTCCTGGCAATCATGAGGTCCATTTCTCTCATCACATCAAGTCCTCGCTCATATCTGGAAAGTAGTCCAAATATATGACACCACACAGTCTCAGATAGAAATGGATGCAGAACTGCTCTCTAGTATCTTTTCACTTTGCTGTATAACACTAGTAATTCTGTGGACTATGCAGAGCAAGGATCACACCATTTACAGGGTTATGCTGTGGGTACATGGGAGGGTTAGTACGGGGATTCGGGTCAGAGGGGTGTACAGAGGGTTCCATTTCAAAGTAGTTGTCCTGAACACCATCATTTATTCCAAATGATCGGAACTAACATCCCTCAATCCCAAAGCCCTCACAAAGCAATCTGTCTCTGTAAAATAGGGACTTTAGGAACTCCTGTCAGCTCACACCAGGAGTCCGGAGCCGGCTTTAAATACAGGAGTGGCCAGAAACCCCACGTGTTCTAAGAGTCCTGAGAAATCGGACCACAGCCCTGTGAGCGAGGGTCTGTTAGGGAGCATGTTTCCTCAGCCAAGCAGGAAAGCGAGCTTCCTTCAGCTCCTCAAGCACCAGAAGCACAGGCGGACACGGGCAGCAGCAGGGCGTCCTGAGAGACTGGACACTCACATGTGGCTTTGGCATGACGCCCTCTCCCCTGACAAACCCGCAGGCAAGTGCAGTGGCCCAGCCTAGGTCAGCACAGCACCCCCAGGTCAGCTTCCCCTGCCTCCCAACCAGCCCAAGTCAGCTCCCTCCCTCCGCGCCGGACCGTGCACAGTCCCTCAGATCTGCAGGACGGCGCTGCACCCTGCACCAACCTCCATGTCAGAGATCCAAGCCCAGTGCTGAGCAGGACACTCGCCTAACTTTGGGGAGAAGCTAAGTTTGAAGACTGATGCGGAAGTTCGGTATCCACAGCCCCTTCTTGTGATGTCATAGTGATCGGAACTACACTTCCCACAAGTCAGAGCGAAGGACTTCCGGGAACCCACGGAAGGTGATTTGTACAGTGCCTGGGTTGCTGTCCAGCTGTGTGCAGGTGAAACTGGAAGGGACAGCCCCAGGGTATTCGGGCTGTTGCAGTCCAGCAATCTCAGCACCCGATGTTAGCCTGTGAGCCGAGCCTTTCACAGTAATGTTTACCACGTTTCCCTGTTATTTCTGCTAAAACGTTGTGATTTTAATGCTCAGGTCTACTTATTATGGAATCTTAATTATCGCATGAAAACTTAGATTGATCTGTTTTACTTAAAAATAAGGAAGCAGGAAGCTAATATAGAACTGAGCATCATCTCAAGATGTTTTTTGAAACCATCCTTGGTGACCCTGCCTGTCATCCAGCGTCTCAGGCGCTTAAGAACCAGAAAACAAGGCTAACAAAGACAATTTATAGACTGTTATATCTATACACAATGTAAAGAATGGACAGGACAAGGGCTAGTTTAGGGTAAAGCATTTGGCTATAATAAAGGTGGCTTTGGTTTAATACCCAGTAATACAAAGAAATAATCCTTGTTCTCCTGTGCTGACACACAGTGCGAGTCACACATGTTCAGACTCCACAGCTGGAATAGGGTTCATATGAACACAGGAATCCATACAGTGAAGGACATGGGTCAGAGCCACAGAGACATTTAAAATCATTGAACACAGTGAAAACTGCAGATCTCTGACGTTTACTTGCAATAAACTTTCAGAATCCATCCAAGGATCTTTCCAACTGTCTGTAAATTCTTTGTCCACACTTTAACCTATTAACCTGTGTAATAAATATAAATTTTGTGTCCACAACCACCTCACCCACTTCTCCTTGGCTTTCACAAACTCAGGCAAGTACTCACCACCAGGTGTTCTCTGAGCAAATACGATCACACTGGAGTGTGCACTGACTCCTGGTCCATCCTGCATTGTAGAATTTCCCTCTGAGTTATGTTTGACATTCCTTATTGAATTTCCCCTCTCTCCCCCGATCCTGACATTGCTCGTATTTGACACCATCTTGAACATCAACGGTATCCACCTTGACCTCTCCATTATGCTAAGTAGAACACTGAGATGACTCCTCCTGGAAAACAAAGGCATCAGAAACATGTCCTTAGAACCCTTGATTGTGCTCATGGTAATGAAGAAGCTACATTGGAACCATGGAGTACTGAGAATGCACATGTCTTCTTAGGAATATTTATTCCTGTGTGGTCCATGCTGGAGACAAAGATACAAACCCCATCACAAGGAAGATTTCATATTTCCATGACACAATTCACAGGAAGCTGTTTCTGAGCAGAGACCATGGGAAGTTCATATTAATTTCTTTATTCCAGGCAGTGTGTTCAACCCTTTGACTCAGAACAGCTTCCTCACCTTGAGAAACTACTCCACAAGCAGTGCATCCCCTGGACATTTGATTGACACATCTGTTTAGAATGAGGTCATGACTGCTCTGTCCTTCTTGTTGGCACTTCTGAGCATGGCTAGGTTTCCATACGTGTGTGTGACTGTGTGCACATGTGTGTTTGTGTGTGTGAGTCTGTGCACATGTGTGTTTGTGTCTGTTACATGGAAACATGACTGGAAAGGTGCTGAGTCATACAGGAACTACAGATGATGCAGCATTCCTTCCCACCTCCTCTGCAGTGTCCATTCTTCCTATCTAGTTCAGGAGGAGGAGGAGCTACCATGGTACCGGTGCAAACTGAACATGCAGGATCTAAGGGGGAGCCCATACCGCAGGATATTAGGGACCCAGGTATAGTTGCTGAAAATTCTACTGGAAATTGAGTTCTCAGGTCTAATGTGTTTGATTAGACCCTGTTGACAACTTTAACACCTCTAATAAAAGTTTTTGTATACATCTTGATTATTTAATTTCCTCTCATGGGAACATTGGGCATTAGATGTGATGTTTGGCAAAATCACCTTAAAGTCTGAGCTCACAGGCTAGAGAAATGGTTCAGTAGTTGAGTGTTCAACGTTCTGGCAGAGGATGTGAGTTTGTTTTCCAGCCTGCACATGGTGACTCACAAGCACGTATAGTAGCAGTTCTAGACTGTAAGAATCTCCCCTCTGCTATTACTCATGTACAAGATATTTGCACACAGACACACAGTCTCACACTGATAAAATGAAAGAAAAATATATAATTAACATTTTTTAATTGGGTATAGTGGTGCATGCCTTTACTACCAGCAGTCAAGGGACAGAGGGAGTCGGCTCTCTGAATTGCAGGCCAGCCTGTTCTAAAGAGAAAATTCCAGGAAAGCCAGGGCTACACATAGACACCTTTTCTGGAAAAAAATTTTTTTTTCAAAATCTCAAGTTTGAACTTTAGAAAAGGAATTGTTGTGTGGAGGTAATACTGTTTTCTCGCTATTTAAATATACAAACAAAAAATGTTAACTACCTGCCAGTAGCTATTTACAAATATATATCCTTTCATCAGTGATAAGCAAAAGTTCAGTGAAATTGACTCCTTGCTAGCGCAGTTCTCAAGACCCTGTGCTCACCACACACTGGCCTAGTACCATTTCCCCCAGATACATTACAGGCCCTTCATTACTGCATCCCTCAGTGAGGCACATGAGCTGTGTAGACAGTTCCATACCTTCTCTGAAGACATACTCAACTGTGTCAGGAGGCCATATTGCAAATGGTGACTCTATAGAAGATTGGTTTCTGAATTTCAGAATATGATTTTATAATACATCCAAATACTTCCTTGTCTCTCTCCACAAAAATAAATGTCTTACTATCCACTTGTGCATATGGGGAAAGTTTTATCCTTGCCTTCTT